ATAATTGTGATAAATCATTCCTGTTAGCAAGGCATCCATGATAGGTCAGAAATTTTTTAGTGCCAACATAAATTTTAATTTCTTAGGTGAGCATTTATATTCCCCGCCCATTTCTTGAAATAAGCAGGAAAGGGCCGGGTGCGGTGGCTCCCGCGTGTAATCTCAGCACTTTGGGAGGCCAAGGCAGGCGTATCACGGTGTCAGGAGTTTGAGATCAGCCTGGCCAACGTGGTGAAACCACATCTCTACTAAAAATAGAAAAATTAGCCAGGTGTGGTGGCTTGCACCTGTAGTTCCAGTTACTCAGGAGGCTGAGGCAGGAGAATTGATTGAAACTAGAAGGTAGAGGTTGCAGTGAACCGAGATCGTGCCACTGCACTCCAGCCTGGGCGAAACAGGGAAACTCTGTCTCAAAGGAAGGAAAGAAGGGGGAAAGAAGAGAAGTTATCTGGTTATCTGTATTTACTGATCCCTAGCTGTGTGCCAGCGATCCTGTTGGTACTTAAAGATGTACATTATAGGAAAAATTATGTTAACTTCTTTTTAGAGAGTAAAAAAAAAATGACAGCATGGAATTATTAACTATCTTAAGAAAAGTTACATCTACAGATACATTAATACATGCTGATATGGCTGGCTTATGCACTTCTCCTTCCTCGAAAACCATTCAGTTAATGCTTTTTGATACTCTATCTGTGGCATGCAGGTGCCTGGCGCAGAGATGCAGAAAAGTTTGAGTCTGTCAATAAAGGAGATCGACAAATGAGTCACCAGTTATAACATGGCCTCTTTTTTTTCTGTGCAAAAGTATGTGCATCATTCTGAAAGCCTCAGAAAGGATAACTAACTTGGCTTAAGTGGCATCCCCACTGAGAAGCCTATTTTCAACTTCAGTCATCTGCAGCTGAGCCACAGTGATAAGAGTTATGAAGGCAGAAGAAGGATGAGAGGAGATCCCAGGCAGACACCAGGATGTGCACAGGAAGAATCCCTTTTCCTTCTGTAAAATTCAGTTCAAGTAGGGAGTTCATTTTCCTGGTTCAACAGAAAGGCAATATGAAGGCACACAAGATACATCTACTGATTGCCTCTTTTTTAATAATTAAAATCTCCTAGACAACATTTTTATTGTATATTTATAGAGAGGTTCTTTCTGAGTCCCAGAAATGAGTAACATGCTATATTGGACATGAGTAAATATTGACTGGTGAAAAATGTTGTGTATATATTTACTGAGAAAACTTGTTTCTCTGTACTTCGGTAAGCATAGAGAATTCAGTGATAAAAGAACACTTGCCTTTGGGAGCTCAGTGTAGAAAACGAGTCATTTATGCAGACGTGCAGCAAATCATTATGAACTATGACAGCGATGTGTACCATATAACCTAGAGGCATAAAGCAAAGGTGACTAATCCCTTGTGCTTAATACCAGAAGTCAGATTTGCCAACGTCTTTGAATACAGCTGTTTGAATATCAGTCTAGAGATCTCATTCTGCAAGTAAGACCATGAAGAGTCCATTTTGTATTAACTTCTATGTTGATGCTGTTTTTCTTTGATGATTATCATGATGATGGTGATGATGAAATACAGTTGGTCTTAAAACACACAGAAAATCACCGAACCCTGTAGCTCCAACAAAAATTCAGGAGCATACATAGGCTACAGTCATGATACCATTTGGGTCAACTGTAGTGATATGCTTTTCCAAGGTATCTCATCAATGACAGGACCATTAAAATCAGGACCTATACAGATGTTCAGCGTTGACTGGCCTCAGCAATTAAGAACTTACTAGGGCTATAAAAGAAAAGGAGCAATCATTCTTTATTATCTGTGACTGCTAGAGATACTCTTGGATCACAGGTCTAAGGATGAGCACATCATCAAATAAAAATTAGTGGAAACACTGTGGTTTGCCTTTCATATGTAAAGTTTTATTGCGTTGTAATTGTTTACTATAGATGAACAAATGAGTAAGGAGGTTTGTTAGCCATAGTAGATTTGGGGAGAACAAAGAACTCTGTTGTGCTCTTGCCTCTTTTTTGTTAGTTGATAAGGCAGCGGAGGGATGTCACTGGAAACAACAGCTTTGCCATTAAAGGTAATGCAAGATTTTAAGGAACTACTGCTTATTTATTTGAGGCCATAAGCTCATGGAAAGCTACACTGAATGGGTAATTATTTTACCTCCCATTGACACTAGCCATAAGCCAAGCAGATAGGCTTGCATGCTAGTTTTTAGCCTTGTGTTTCTGGGATGCTGGGCTTCTCCTGAGAATAGTCATTTCAAGGATGAGATTTTCGGTAAGATGGACAGTTGAACAACATGTAACTGCCGTTTTGAACTAAAACAGTTAACTGCTGAGCTTTCTGGACGGAGGCTTTTCAAGCAGCTCATTTACTTTTCTTTTTCCTTTTTTTTTTTTTGAGACAGACTCTTGCACTATCGCCCAGGCTGGAAAGCGATGGTGCAATCTGAGCTCACTGCAACCTCCGCCTTCCGGTTCACGCAATTCTCCTGCCTCAGCCTCCTGAGTACCTGGGGTTACAGGCGCACACCACCATACCGGACTAATTTTTTTTTTTTTTTTTAATAGAGATGGGGTTTCACTATGTTGGTCAGATGGGTCTTAAACTCTGGACCTTGTGATCTGCCCACCTCAACCTCCCAAAGTGCTGGGATTACAGGCCTGAGCCACCACACCTGGCCTCATTTTCTGTTTTAATGCTCATGACTGTGGTCTTGTCAGAAGTCACCCCCTGCCTCAGTGTGGGAAGAGTCACCACCCATAGCCTACTAGTCGCTGCAGTATTAGTTGCTGCTTGGATTCAAGAAGATTCCAGTGATTAAAATGTCCAAATGCATGTCCCATGTCTATATGAGGGAAATTATGATACCCTTGTTAGGAAATACCTGCTTCCTGGGGGAAGAAGAAAGTAGGATTTCATGTTCCAAGCTTGGGCTCTGAATTTCAGGCCATGTACCAATCAGAGAAAACTTACAGCAGTAACTGGGACTTAAGGAGACTTCTTTTCTCCAGATGAAGAGTGATTAAGCTAGCTAGCCCTCAGAGTCTTTGAGTTGGGAAAATGAGTTTAAGTAAGTAGAGTTCTGAGAATGTCCCCAGGACAATGATTAATGATTAACTTCAGAAAATCCAGGCCTTTCTAGCTCTTTGGCTTCCTTTCTCTTTACCTCCTTTCTCTTGTCCTCCCTGCCCTTCCTCCTAACTTCTTTACTTTTTTTTAATCCTTCCTTCATTCCTTTCTTCTTTCATTTCTCATTTGACTCTCTATTATATACCAGGAACTATACCTATGAAAATAAAATGTGTAAAGAGAAGACCCTCCAGTACCTTTATTGGGTATCTCTGTGTGTGTATCTTTTGTGTTTGTGTGTGTGTTAGTGGAAGGGTATGCCTTCACATTGGAAAAACAAAAATCTTTTTTTTTTTTTTTTTTTGACAGTCTCCCTCTGTCTCCCAGGCTGGAGTGCAGTGGCACACTGCTGGCTTACTGTAACCTCCGCCTTTTGGGTTCAAGCAATTATCCTGCCTCAGTCTCCTGAGTAGCTGGGACTACAAGCCCCTGCCACCACACCCGACTGATTTTTGTATTTTTAGTAGAGATGGGGTTTCACCATATTGGCCAGGCTGGTCTTGAATTCCTGACCTTGTGATCCAGCCATCTTGGCCTCCCAAAGTGCTGGGATTACAGGCATGAGCCAGGCACTTGGCCAAAAAAAATTCTTATAACAAACTCTAATAAGGATCTTACAGGATTTATAACAAACTCTTGCTGATAGGAGGAAAAGGCTTTCCCTGTCATAAATGAGACATATTTAACAGAGGAAGTGACTTTTCAGTTGTTTCTTAAACTACAATTCAGAGGGTTAGGGGAAGCCAGAGAAGAGCATCTCAAATTGAAAACAGAAGCTTACAGAGGCTCACAGAGGGGCAAGGAAATGAATGTGGCACTTTCAGAGAACGACAACATTTTTCAGTGTGGCAGGAGATGGGCCAGCAAAAGTGACATGGACCCAGTCAGTGTAGAGTGGTGGATAACACACTAGGCCCTGGAAGGATAAGTACTTTTAACATCTGCATCTTCTAGCCTGGATTGAGCGGCTGGGCTAAGTGGCGAGGGGCAGGCAGAGGTATTAATTTGGAGGCATTTCACTGTTTTCTATGTAGAAATGGAATTTCTGCAAAGCCTGTTTTCTGTGTAGAAATGGAAGTTCTGCAAAGCCTGATTTTTTTCAAAAAGTCCAGATGTTCCCAAGTTTAATTAATCTTGTATAAAAATCCTAAAGTGTGATTGCCATATTATTTATGTTACAGAATAATAATTATTTTCTACTTAATAGAGCTCACTGCAAGATTACACAAAATAACGTGTCTCCAAGGCATTTTAAATAGGCGTTGATTTCGCTTATACATATGGTTTCAGGCATGTATCAGAAAGTGAGGTGCATCTATATATTTCTCTTTACACTGATTTGACAATACAGAGAATGGTCACTCTGCTGTAAGAGTCATGGGATTTGTTCATAGGACAGTAGTAGGTGGCTTGGCAAGTTTCAAATGAAAAAATTAGATTAGTGAGCTATGTCAATCACTGTTCAAGTCACCCAGCTAAAGAAGCATGCCTGGCATTCTGCCTAATAAGTTTTGAAAGTTTAATACACTGTCACTGGGGTTGTTGCAAGAGTACACACACAGCATGTGTCTGGCCTGTTTGCAAGTCCCAGCTAATAACACACAACATCCTTGCTAGAGTGCAGCCTGGCTTTCATCAAGTGATGTTTTCATTATCGTTTTTAGTTGAGGTGGAAATTTTGCTGTCAGGATGTATACATAAACAGAGTAGATATATTCGAAGGACTGTGAGTTTAGATGCCTCTGGATATTAAAAGTCTGGGGGCTCTGCCGGGTTCCCCTAAGGGACAGGTGAAGTCATTAATGTGGATGTTTCTTTTCACATTTCTCCATTTTTTAGGTCTGTGATGGGGTCAAACAAAGAACCAGACCTTGTGCATCTTGAGGCCAGAACTGTGGATGGTCGTAAGTAAATCAACTTTTCCTCAATGTTTACAGTGATATTAGTTCTATGAATCTATCAAGAACGGAGTCTGTGTAATAATCTCATGATATATGCATAGTAATAGAGGATATGTGCTTTCTGGGGATTTGGGATTGCAGGGGTGATCTGCTTCTTTTGACTCTAAGCTAGTAAAGTACAGGTATCTTCTGTTCAGAAGAGCTAAGGATAGGTCCACAGGCACAATGAATGGCACAGTGGCAGTAATCATGTGATTTGGCAGGAAGGCTTGTCTTCAGTGGTGCGAAATAATCTTAATAATTTTTCATAAATATATATTTTATATATATTTAAATTTATAAATATATAGATTATCCAGAAATATGTCTATTTGGATAGTGGCGACACTCGCACGGCCCTGTCATCCAACCAAAGTGGCTTTCCAGGTAAAGAGAAAATCTCCAAACTCCTGCTTCCTCAAGTGTTTTGTTGTTGTGGATGCTGCTCCTGTTTTGTGTTGTTTCTTCAGTCTCCTTATTTTGTCAAACATCATCCAGGCTGTGCCTCACTCTCTTGTTCGGAGATTCACAACACACTTGAATAAAAAAAGAGAATTTTTTCTGGGTCCCCATCAGAAGCAGCAGGAGGGGAGGCAGTTGAGTGTATTGCTCCCCCAACGTTGTAGGTTGTTATTCTCATTTCACATATGGAGAAACACAGGCGTAGAAAGCTTAAGTAATAATATACCTAAGCTCATATGGTAAATAAATAGAGCAGAGTGATGTCTATCTCCCAAGGCCCGTCCAGGTGAGAATTCGAGAAACCAGTGCATATAACATAGTTCACACAGTGCGTGACCTGTCAAACAGTTGAATACCAACAATGGATGTTTCCTTCCCCTTCTCTGGTACACATTTGCGGGGGTACTGCTAGGCCTAGGATAGAGGGCTCCAGGTGAGAGGGGTAAAAGAAAATGAGCCAAAGGGGAAACTGTACATAGAAGAGAATGAGGAGAGAAAAGACAGGGAGAAAGAAAGGGGACTCAGTTAGGAAGAAGAGGAAGAGAATGGACTGTGCACAATTACCACAGAGCAATGAAGCTGTTGTAGGCTGCCCGGCGCTGGCGCAGAGAGCGATAATCTCATTTCCAAGACATTCCCGGTTTCTAAAATATCTCTCGCAATTCACAAGCATCCTAATCGCTGCCATTTGTGCCTGTCAACCAGTCTTTAGCTCTTCTGAACACAAAGGCGGAAGATCCTGTACTTTACCAGCTTACAGCCAAACAAAGCAGGTCACCCCTACAACCCAAACTCCCCAAAACCCACAAGTTTTTCATTACTATGCATGTCCCATGAGCTTTCTTACCTCTAAAGATTTAGTTTCCCTTCTGTGGGAGTGAGTCTATTTTTTGACAGAGTCCGTGTGGGCACAGGTCAGGGGGCAAGCATCCTTCTCTGTAACCTGGGCAAAGCTGCCACATGCAACATGCCCAGCATTGTGCCTGTCACAGAATGAGCTCAACAGGTCAGAGCTGCTTTCCCACCTCCTCAGTGGGCTCACTCTGGTGGTGACTTCTTCATTTCCCTGGACCAGACGATGTTATCTTGGATTCCAAGTTCCTGTTCTTGCTATGTAACAGAGATCAATATTTTCTTAAGGGAAAAGTAAACACATCATTGTTTAAAAGTCTTGCTTACTTCCCGTTGCTTTGATGATAAGGAGCTAAGTTCTCATCTTGCCCTATAGCCCCAGCATAACCTGTGCCTGCCCATTTCCTCAGCCTAACTCCGCCCTCTCCTCACTCCTTGCCTGCAGACATGTAGGCATGCTTTCAATTCTTGGAACATACAGGAGTCTGTCTTGCCATAAAGCCCTGATGCATGCTGCTTTCTCTATCTGGAATACCGTTCTCTCTCACCCGCACCCTCACCAATCGCGCATAATTGATTACTGTGGATGGTTCAGACCTCAGGTTAATCACCTATTTCTTAGGAAAGCCTTTCCTAAACTCATCTAAATGTTCTTATTTTGCTTGCTTTTATACAACTGTGTTTTTTAATGACATTCTTTTCTGTTTGAAATTATACTTTCTATTTACATGATTATTTGATCACAACTGTTTCTCCCCACCAGTCTGTTATGTTTTATGAGAGCAGGGACCATGTATATCATGTTCAGTATGGTATCTCCAGAGCCAGGCATGGCAGCACACAACTGTAGTCCCAGCTACTCATGAGGCTGAGGCAGGGAGATCATTTGAGCCCAGGAGTCCAAGGATATAGTGCACTACGAACACACCTGTGAATAGCAACTTCACTCCAGCCTGGGCAACATGGTGAGATCCCATCTCAAAACAAAAACGTTCTATCTCCAGCACATGCCACAGCATCTGCATGTAGAGAGAGCTCACTAAACATATGTTGATTGACTGCATACTTAGCTGACCAGTTGCCAAGGTTACCAGTTGGCTATCTCACCTCACTAACCAGGTTATCTGAAAATATTGGAGGCTTGCATCTTAAACCTTATCATGTATACTACCCACCTCGGGACCTGGTTAAAATCTGGATTGTGATTCAGTAGGGGCCTGAGAGTCTGTGTTTCTAACAAGCTCCCAGATGATGCCCTGGTCTGTGCTGCTGGTCTGTGAAACATGCTTTGACTAGCAAAGTTCCACAACAGAAAATTAGTGAAAGCGATTGAGGGTCTGTTTCCCATGGTTGCACCCCTAGTTTAGGAAGCTCTGGATGGAATTGGTAGCATCTGGATTGCTTTCATTTTCAAGCTTTTGGGCATGCTGCTGTTTTCTGGCTTGTGGCATCCAGTGCACATAACCGTGTGTCCTAAAAACAATGAGGCCATCACTCTCCGTGATCTGCACATTTCCTTAACACCCAATATTATTCCTTTGCTCCCTGAAGGCACAGCAGTTGATAATGCCAAACTGTCATCTCAGGCTCAGCTTTCACAAGGCATGAAATATATCAGTTCTAATTTTATTTATTTTACTTTAC